CACGATAAATGTAGGTACTAAGTTTCTATTTTTTAAGATTTGTCTGCCAATAACATAATACATTACATGATAATTTTAAATATAAATAGATAAATATCCATTTTAAATTCTAAATGTTACCCAAAAAATCAAGCATGAAGGGTAAATACAATATATTTAACACTAACCATAGATATCTCAGACAGTTAATGTATATGTTGAAAGCGGGATATAGATAGGTATATGTAAATATTGCTTCCACTAAAATACATGTCAGAACACTGGAAATGATAACATTTAATATAAAATGCAAGCTTTATAATCATCAACTGTTTGTTGAAGATCCCTCACGGAAGATAAAATGTTCAGTAACTAAGGAAATATTGGTAATGTTTAGATTTAGGTGTAAATCTTTCATTTTACTGTTTTTTACTGAACGCTCGAAAAACTACAGATTTTGGTCATATTTAAGTCATATTTGGTCATAGATAAGATGATGATACGAGACAAAGATATTGATATAAAAATCCTAAAGTGGAATAATTAATGGACCACAAGAGCACAACAGAAACAACTAAGATCACACAGTTAACTTGAAATATGGTTTTTGCACCAATATGATAACATGTTTTATATATAAGTCATAGTATACAAATAAAAGTTCGATATCTATCCAGGGAATTTAAACCAATCACACAAACAATAATGGATCAAAACCAACATATTATTGTCAAAGTCTATATGCAGATGATCCCCAGAATTCAAATCACGACGAGTTCACTGCAGAGAGAGAATGGAAAACTTATAAGAAAACAGACTGGAGATGGAGTAAATGTTATGCATATGAACTGCAAAAAGATTTCGGGAAAAAAGAGTGGCCCAACGACTGGACAACATCCACTTTCATCCCTATATTCAAAACGGGACCTCCGCTAGATTGCAGCAACTACAGAACGGTAACCCTAATATACCTTGCAAGTAAGGTTCTACTTCATGTAATACATGAAAGAATAAAAGCTTTTCTTTTGCCTCAGACATCAGAAGAACAAGCGGGATTTGCCCCAGGAAAAGACACAAGAGAACACATCCTTAATGTCAGACAGCTAATCGACAAAACTCGTGAATTCAATTGTCCTATACTTATGTGCTTTGTGGATTACACAAAGACCTTTGATAAAGTCAAATATCAGCAGTTATGGTTCAACAGTATGGAGGAGAAAAGCAAAACATATGGACTAAAGCTAAACAGCAGTAAGACAAAGATCAAAAGAACATGATAGTAGATAAAGCTCGGCATAATCTTCAACACATTAAAGAAATTGGGGGCTTTGAAGTAGTAAATAGTTCCGTATATCTGGGGTCCATAATAACAAATGACAGAGGGTGTGACAGAGAGATACGTAGAAGGTTGCCTATTGCTAGTCAATGCTAGTCAGTACAACAGCTATGATAAAACTGCTAACAATTTGAAAAAATTTCTAGCATAATAATACACACAAAACTAAGAGCCCTCATTTTTCCCATAGCCACATATGCATCCGAAACGTGGACCCTAAAGAAAGCGGATAAAAACTAGATGCTTTTGAAATGTGGGTATACCGCCGCATGTTAAGAATATCCTGTATTGATTATCACACTAACGTATCGATATTAAAACAACTTAAAGTAAAGGATTGATTGCTTAAACAAATACAACAAAGATATTTGCAGTATTTTGGACACATTGCTAGAAGAACAGGTATGATGGAAAAACTGATAGTCGAGGGTAGAGCTGAAGGAAAGAGACCCAGGGGAAAATCTCCAAGCCGTTGGGTAAATCAAACAAAAATATTGATTAACCAAGGGTTACATGATGCCGAATAATTAGACGAAGACAGGAAAGGATGGAGGGAAATCGCGAAAAAACTGTAAAGGCCTGATGATATGTCACCATATCCTAAATGGGATTACATAACTTATTTTGGAATTCGTTTATTTCCTTAAATCAATTGTCTGCTTGCAATATAAGACCTTTATAACAGATGACACGGAACACATGGGCAAATGAGCACAGAATTAACAAATGACCTATAACATATACAGATTTGTAACATTGTTGCAGCGATTCGTAACTTCAGTGAAATCGTTACTGGTGTCAATAATAAACATGTCATGCTGATCGGCATCTATCAAAGAGTGTCGGATGACCTGTTGTGATGTTAAGGGAAACCAACTATATAAGGCATTTTGGCCATTAAATGTTTAAAATGTTATTTCCTTCAGCTAAATCCGTTTATCAAGGAACTTTATATTATACATGTCGCAGCTCAACACATATTCGAACGCTTGTCAAAGTCATAATTGCAGTAGCAACCGAAATCGCAGCTATAATAATCAATTTCGGAAACATCGTAGGCGTATTGGATCAGATATCCCAAGTCGTAGCATCTGTCATCATCATCACGTAGCGCTACAACCCTGTGTGGATCTTGCCTGACTAACTAATTTGTGCGGTCTTCCTTAAACCAAGGGTCAAATGGAATGTTCATTTTCTGGAGATCTGTTGGATGTTATCTCTCCATCGCATTCTGGAACGTCCAAGTGGTTTTTTGCCTGTGGGAATCTCCTCCCATACCAGTTTTACAAGTCTTTCGTTATGCAGTCTGTGCACGTGGCCTGTCCATCTTAGTCGCTGTGATTTAATTTCTCGTACATCTGTAGTAGCATCTGTACTAAACATTAAACTGACACAAAATGTAGCTGAGATAAAAAGTAAATGGAAATGATACAGAAACACACACTTAAAAACATTGATTATTATGCGCCAAAATTGTTTTTATTACAATTTTTCTATTAAAGGCACGATACATAAAATGTACGTTGTATCTTATGCTTATGAATACAGCGAAATTATCTTGCTGATGATTACAAAGCCTGCCGAGAAAATACATTTCTGACTAATAGAAGCAATGGCACACTTATTATCGGATTATGTTATAGGGAGCCTTTTAATCTCTCTCGTTATAAAATTGTCCAAAAAAAGCAGACGCTTGAATTGATTACACAGTTAATATCTAATATGGTCATTAGTATACAAGGAACTGATATGCCAAAACAGATTATCTCAAAGATTAGCTACTTCTGCGCCCATAATATTTTAAGGTTTCAATACAGGTAGTTCCAGTATCTCCTAGAATGTTGCAGAATGTCCTAAGCATACACGAGAGTCAGGTGAAAAGTTCTTAACCTAGTCCAAACAATAAATATTTAATATAAATTAAATTGCCGTTTCATTAGTCTATCGCAATTGCTGTAAAAGTAGATACTAAATTAGAATTTGATCGGGGAAATAATTTGGAGTAGATCTTTTTGTTGTGTTGCTTCCATCGAATATTGGAACTCTTGAGTGTTATTTTGACCTTATTTCCCATGATCCAAAACGCTCATTTACTCAGGTATCTAAGTCAGTTCTGTGTTTTGACAAATCTAATAAACTGAAATACCATTTCGTCATAAAGATCTTTTATATACTTTATCGCCAACAGAAATTTATCGACAGTTAATGATAGCAGAATGGAGGATTTGAAGTAAGAATTGAAACTGAAACATTATCTCTATTCGCCAAATTTGGATCGCCCTGACTTGCCATCAATTGCCAAACTCCGAATAAAATTCGAATATTGGAGGAATGTTGGGTAAAAAGTATTAAACTAAAGGAAGACTATCTAAAATCTAGAGCTAGAGAAATAAATGCATATTCTAAATAAAAATTATAAAATTTACTTTTCACTAGTGGATCAAGAACTTTTCACCATTTTCTCTCGAAAATTACCTAGTACATAGTATGCTGCAAACTTCTAAATATTTTTACATTAAATTATTTTAGAAACGTTACTACTGTTGTTTTTACTCTTTCAAATCAATTACAAAATGTGCATAAATTACGTTTGTTACGGTTTCAGGTAACTTCTTTCACGATAAATCTGGAAATCAGGATTAATATAATTTCCCAATGACAATATAAAAATTGGAGAAAAGTCTGGATTTAAGTTTGGAATAATGAAGTTGTATAATGGATAAATGAATACATGGGGGAGTATTGAAGGTTTACATTACATGATCAACCTAAGGTAAGAGATATATGTTTATACAGTTTTATATATCATGTAACGTTATGTTTCTCAAAACTTTTACCTTACGGTAAATACTTCATAACATCTTCAGTTGGGAAACTATAAAATTAAAGTAAAGTTAAACAATTTACAGTTTCCGGTTACTCAGATTCGCTTTTCGATCATCCAAGTATCATTCTAGTGCGCCTTTTTATCCCAGATCATCCCGATGTCGGATTAAAGATCTAAGAATACTGTTCATTATCATTTCTTATATTTTATTCAATTGATAAGAGACCAATATGTTTCAATAAGATTTATTTTTTATGCCATTTACAAATCTCGTTCATACGGTAATTTGTAAAATTTAGGGTTTTATTTTGACTGGTATTATGTACTGGTCGAGCATTTTCTTGACAGAAGACAAGAAAGTCTTTCTATTCTAAAAATTTTGGCAAATTTTCATATTTATTATATATGTGTAGTAGTCCACTGTTTAATTTCTCCGTCTACAATTTTAATACCATCATTGAATAGTACTATAAGTACATATTTCCTTTAAACTGTTGTTTTATTTCGCTTTAATGGATATTTTTTATGCTGCTGTAATAGTTGCAATATATTCCATAATTTCGACATTTAAGCTTATTTTGCTTTATTTTTGTATTTACCGTCAACTGCTTTTTATTTATAATAGACCCCTTTCACCTGGCAATTGGATATAAATAAAGTAGTCTTATCATTATTTACAATTAATAAAATAATTCGTTTGTACCCTTGTATCCAAATGCATTTCTCAAAATTCGTGTCCAAGGTGTTCTTTTGGGCCTAAGTTTTCTACATTTTCCTACGTTTATACTTCAGTGTGTACAGTCTAGTCTATCTTTTACTTCATTTGAAATTGGATGTGAATAAAAATGATAAAAATACGTCTTTATACAAATGTATTTTCTAAAGCTGTTGACCTAGATGTTTAACAAGAATAAAATTAATAAACGGGGATAAAAATAAATATATAATCGTTTCAGTATCCCAGAAGAAATATGCAAAATATTTAGAAATTAACTCCCTATATTCAACAATTTTTTACATTGAAGTTTATAGCTAGAACTCCAGCTCAATACTTAAAATTATTATAGTTTCTTAAAGTAGCCTCTTTGATCCATTATCAACAGTAAAAACCTACAACATTCCCATTTGAGGTTATTTTCCGCAAGTTATATTAACACACGCAACATCAGTAAGTTTTTGGGGTACTTAAATGTGTTGTTTCACTACGTTTCGGGGGTGGGGGTGGAGGTCTTTTCGATTTGAATTCCATTGAAGACACAGACGACCTAGCGTCGCTCCGACCGTGAACAGGACTTGTGGCGTATTCGACTACGGCATCGGGAGTGTCTCTATATATGTTCTCGTAGACGTTATTGGGTCCATAGTGCTCTTGTACCCAATTGGAGACGTTGTGCTCTTTGTAGTCTGGTAGAAGGACTGGGGGATCACGAAAACCTAGTACTTCGTGAGGGGTGGTTTCGGGTTCTAGTTTGCACTTCTGTGCTACCTGCAAAAAGATAACCATAATCATTAATGTATTTCTTAATTTTCTGAGAGATATATTAAAATACAATATCGATGCCTGTGTGCTTTCCTAATGCTGCATAATGCTACATAGTGTTTATTTTTTGAGGCGCCTAGAAATAAATTGTTATATTTTATCTGAGTCCTCAGCACAGACTAATCTTTATTTTAGACACATTACTCAACATTTACAAATTACTATATAACTATTTTGGGATATTTCAACATAAATCGCACAAATAAATATAACTAAGTGACATTGACATTTCCTTATGGTGAAATTATTAAATTATAGAACCGTTTATGAGGATTAGTGAATCCAGATATGCTCTCCTTCAAGCCATCCTACAAAGAAAAATATTTCGAAAGCAAGGTCCAGGAAGAACATCTTGGTTAAAGAACCTCAGAACCTGGTTCAATACAACATATGTGCAGCTTTTCTGCGCTGCTGCAGATAAGATAAAGATTGCCATGATTATCGCAAACATTCGTAACGGATAGCCACATCCAGAAAAAGAAGAATGAAGGATTAACATTATATCACTATCTATTTTTTTTTTCTAGCAACCATTCTGTATTCTAAAACTATATGCACTGATGTTTTCATTCGATATATATTAGCAGGGAATTCATGTTTCCTCTCTTGAATATATACAAGTAATACATTTGCTTTCTTTTCCCGCTTATTTTTATTGACAAACATTTTGTTGTACTTGACTATTTTTTTGACTACACTACTATCTTCATTGTATGCACAAGGGATACTTTAACGTAAGGTATCAATTAAAGCTTTTCCGTCGTATCTCTTGTTCATCCATATTCATCTATATATCTCTGTATCTCTGTGAAACTTCAATGTAAATCACAGCAGCTTCTGAACCAGAGTGGGAGGCTACAAACAAGGGCGCGACTTTTTATGTCAATCTAAGTTCGAAAGACGACCGGGAAAGTGTTAAGTTAGCAGAGGATGCGAAGAATCCCCTGAGTTGATATACCAAAACCAAGAATTTGTACATTAAGAAACTTACACACTCTCTAAGCTGCAGGAAAACTGGGTAATGCCTTAAATGAACTAAAACGGCTGAATGTTAATATTTTAGGAATCAGCGACACGATATAGTCCGGACACTGAATATGTCTACAAAAAGACACATCATTCTACTACTCGGGATTTACAAACAACGGTCCACAGCACAGAAACGGCGTGGGATTATTAATAAGAAAGAAAACTAAGAAATCAGTAATAATAATATTACCCAAGTACATGCGTCCAGATCAAACAAAGTAGTGAACGAATGGAAAGGTTGATACAGTTTCGTATGGAATACTACATTTGCATTCAAGACGTCTCTACACATGGAAATCCCCCTAAGATACTTCCCCAACAATATAAAGAAATCAAATCGATCATTTTATAATTAATATAAACTTTTAAAATAACGTGACACGGGTCGACGAATATCTTGGAGCGGACATCGGCATTAATTTAAGGGGAAAACTAATAAAATTTTAGAAAAAAAAAATAAAAAGGTAGAGACTTTAAGGTTTAAAGGGAAACCCCAAAAAGTAAGATCTTAAAAGTGATATAGAGGAATAGACAAAGATGTATAGCTGTAAAAAAGTAATATATATAAGAAATAAAATAAAGCAACCAAAAGAAAAGGAGTTGGAAGAAGAATGTCAATAAATTTAAGCAGATTTTGGATAAAACAAAAAAATATATAGTAGGCGATAATGACATTGGTTGGGCTAAAAATAATATAGGTTATGGATTTTGACAAGAGCTATGACCTTGTACTGTATCGGCATGACTCATAGCTCTTGTTAAAATCCATTACTTTTATTAAATCCATAGGTATATCTTGAAGACCGACTGATATGGGCTGGAAAAAATATTAAAACCATAACTATACCAAATCTAACCGACGTTAGAAATTCCTCAGAGCCATCTATACTGGTATCAAACGTGGAGAATGGCATTAAAAATTTAAAAACGAACATGCGCAGAAAAGGATAGAATTCACAATGAAATGTGAAATTAATGAAATTTAATTAATATAATAGAGAAGAAATACCATCTGAAAAAAAAAACAATTCTTTGTAACTCACAATTGATTTCTGTTCGGTATTTCAGTAGTTCAGACATCATCATAAATAGACGACAATGCTTGCAAATTCTAAAGATTAACTTCGATAAAAATTCGAATAAACACGTTCGTGAAACTCATAGCGTACTATGCCTATTCTTTAATATATTCGTCCATCAGAGTAATTCATTCAAGCAACGATTAAACGTTTTCAGCCCTCGTTTATTATAAATCTTTAACAAGCATTCCTAGGAAGATATTGAGACGCTGAATGAGTCGCGCACACCAATTGGATCTACGTCCATCCACTTAATATTTTCTTTCTTTTTTTAATTTTGCAAAAAATCTGTCTGTGGGTTTTGTAACAATTAGGCTCACAATTTTTGTTGAAAGGTTCGTCCAATAAACAAACTATCACATTTGGTGTGAACATAATATTCACATAAATATTGAGACGTTGTTATATCCAGAAAATATTAAAAATTTAAAGAAAACTTTTGGATGAAAGATTGTTTAAGAAATTCTGAAGTACTTTATAATTATTATTATATATGTTTTGAATAAAGGCATATTTGGTTCAATCGCAAAAAGTAAAGTTTGTAATAATACACACCTGCCATTTTTTCCTCATAACCCTCTGCAAATCCTTTAAAAAATCCATCGGGGGATCAACTAATTTCTTTGGGCTCGTCAACTTCGTCGTTTCCGCCCTCTTTGGTGGAGGTGGTTTTTTGGGTAGTGGAGGTACTTCCTGTGGAGTTAAATTAAAACTAATCTTTTTACCAGTCTTCTTGGGGCTCGTCGGTTCTTGGAAATTTACTTTTCGTTGAATACTAGGTGAGTTCTGGTATGTATTTCCTGAGGAGCCTGAACTGTTAGTAGATGCTATGCTGTTGGAGGATATCTGCCTGGGTAATGAAGTTTGCCTAATTGAGGATCTCAGACCACTATTGTTATTAAAAGCGTTAACACCTGGTAAAGGACTGGAGACTCTATATTGCGGAGAAGTGCCATAAACTATTTGTTCTTGGTTAGGAAGTGATCTGTGTGCCATGTTAAAGTTCATAGGAGGGTTGCTCTGCACCGGCGTACTACATCCACTACCCGAGTTTGACAGTGGAGGGCTGCAAACAGGTGTATTCAACCTGGAGTGTGTAGGAGTCAAATCTGGTGACATTCCCTGGGTAGGAGTCCTCTCTGGACTTAGTACATTCACAGGTGTGATGCTTCCATTTCTTTTTCTTATCGTACCGGTATCTTCGCCGGGTGGAGGGGGTAATGACATAAGAGATAGTTGACTACCTGTTAGTTCTGCACCTGTCATTGGAGGTAGGTCATTGGGATTTGGAGGAGGAGGAAGACTGTCAAGGGAAAGGTTCGAATTATACACTTCGGGGGGAGGTGGCGGTAGCGAATAGTTAGGAGAAGTGTTTAATATAACGTCGCCATTCGTTTCGGGTGGTGGTGGTAGAGAAGTAATGGAGTCCGTCTAAAAAAATGGAAAAAATTAGCAAAAGTATGTTAAAACCAATATGATTTATTTTTTTATATCGTAAAAAATGATATATTAATACCAACAATTTTCTTCACTAATATAATAAGTTATATCATGATGCCATTAAGTAAAATACACAAACAGTAAGAGAGGAAAGAATAGTAATTTTTTTTTTAATTTCGGAAACAATAAGTGTTTTGTTTATGACATTAATATGAATTAAGTCTCGGTCAAATTTATATAAATTTTCTTTAAAACTGCAGGCCATACTTATTACTTACCATACAAGAAGGCAGATTACTTGTTGGTGAAACTGAGCCCCTCAAATAACTGCTGGTTGGAGAATAGTCTACCATATTTCCATTTCTCTCACTAAACGGCGAAACACCATTCCTTTCAGAAAACGGGGACACCCGATCTCTGACTGGCGTTCCACAAAGTGGAGTCGAGTTTCCGCTTCTACTTCCCATAGACTCAATGGATCCTCTCTGTTTATAAGAATGCTGTCTTTTAAGAGTACCTGTATTGGAGGAGTCGTCGGATTGATTGGATTTTCGTCTGCTGTGCGTACGAGTTAAGGTACCTGAATTTGTGTAAGTTATGGGACTAGAAGGAAGGGGAGTGCCGTCCGTTTCGTCGCGAGTTTCACCGACCTCTTTAAGCTGGCGGGTTATGTTTGTCAGAGGAAGACTGGGTTTCATTGATGGTTTGCGTTTTATTGTGCCTGGAAATATAAAAGATGATTAACAAAACGGAATTATACTGTCAGTAATTTCACTGTACCAGAAGTGTCAAAGTTTCACACTAACATTCCATAAATAAAGCTTAGTGATGCACATAATTTAAATTTAAATTAAATATTAATATTAATTTTTATAGTACATATTTCTTTCCTTCTCCTAACTATAAACATAGGAACTTAAAGTAATGTAGTGAAATGATGAAATTGGACTTTGGTTTTTATCTGTTTTCTCTCTTTCGTTATAGCTTCTAACCTGTGTTCCCAAACTAAACATTTTTTTTCTTTTCCAACTACAGCAAATCGCTCTCTATCTTGAGCTGTTCTTAGTATGGAATGTGTGTCCATACCTGTCCAGTCTCTTACATTCTTCAACCAGGAGCATTTTCTTCTTCCTGGACCTCTTCTTCCATCCACTTTCCCTTCCATTATAAGTCGTAGGAAGTTGTATTTTTCTCCTCTGTAAATAAGTCCTAGATAACTCGTTTTTCTGTTTTTTTACAATATTTAGGAGTTCTCTCTCAGTACCCATTCTTCTTAGCACCTCGTTGTTGGTCACGTGCTCTGTTCAAGAGATCTTCAGCATCCTTCGAAAAACCCACATTTCAAACGGTTTTATACACGGATTACGGATTGGAATTTGCGTACTTTTTACTCACAATAGGATTATTACATATTTTTCTTTCGTTTTACATCATGTAAACATTTTTTTCTCCGGTACCATTTTTATCAACTAGCTTGTCGTTTGTAGCGTATATATTTAGCTTGGGAGGAAGATTATTTTTAGATCTATTTTAACCTCTTCTTACAAACATTATCTCTGCTGTCTGCATTTTACTTTTTTGCTTTTTATTATGTATCCAACACTCACTTTTATGTACTGTTATATTTATTGTACCGAATAAATGTACATTTTTATCGTGTATCTTATGCAAATTCGGGATGCATACTTTCAGTTGTTTACTTTCCGTTTCTTATAATGTTTTGTAGTCTCAAATAACTCTTAAGTATATACATTGATCAAGTGATACACCGCGGTAATCTACTGATTTCCAGAATTTGAGGACGTCTTCGAACATATGTTGATGAGAATCGACGAAAGGTTGCTGTCTTGTCTCAATTCTCGTTTATTTCGATCTCGCCTGTCTATTTCTTGACAGTTGTCACCATTATCTTTGTTTGGTGAAACAAGCTTTTTATTCCGTTTGTATGATGTCAAGGATAGCGGATAACATTAAATGTTTCAAAGATCTTGTTTTGATCGACTCGTTCAAAAGACTTTTTTAAAGTCAATGAAATATGAGTTTTAAGGCTCAAATCCCTGCGTCTTCTTATGTGTTGTCTGATTATAAATATGTTTTCACTACATGAGGGCCCTGTTCGGAATCGGAATTTGGGTGAGGAAAAACTTTTTTAGAATTATAGCTTTAAATCGCAGACTACGGATGGAATGCATTGATCGGAGAGGTGGATCGCGCAGAGATATGAAAAAAGAAAAACAAAAAATCGCAATGAATCGACAGATTGTGGGACCACGCAGTACGTGAAGTAGCAAACGCTACTTCACATGCGTGTTTCTTAATATAATAAAATAAATTAAAAATAAAATAAAATCAATTAAATTAAATTAAAAAACATCGTTTAGGGCGTAAACAATAAGAAAGCTATGCCTCGGTCACTCCTGGAGTACCACATCCCGTTTTTAATTTTATTTTTAGCGAAAAATACATAAAAAGTTTTGCTTTCATCTAAAAATAATTTTAAAATTGTCATTCTCTTTAGCAGTGCTAACCCTTCAATAAAGAAAATATCTTGTAAAGTACTCTGGTAGTGAGTAAAGTACTCTAGTTATGTAACCGTGATGCAGAATGGATTAAAAAAATATTAAAGAAATTCAATGAAACAGGGTCTCTTGAAAGATAAAAAATTGCTATTTTAGTTTATCTCAAATGGCAAAAAGTGCTTGCATATTTAATCAATTCTGCGTTTATTCCATCAATTCCAACAATATTTATATTTTTTGTGATTTAAACGTATTATGTAGTGATTGAATGTGAATTCATTGTTATTTCATTGTTTTTTTTTTCGATTTCACTATTGTCAGCCTGTAATTTTGATGATCTAAAGATTAGGAACATTTGACTGTATATTTTAAATTGGAATACCACAAAACATTGTTTTTTGTATTATGTCTGTAAAGATAATTAAAATAGTTTGTGCTATTTGATACCTCCTTCTCCTTCTAGTTCCATGACCGTTATTGATCGTTGGACATCATATTGGCTACCATAATCGCTATCGTGACTTTATAGATAGCAGCTCTAAATAATGATGTAGTCGATTTTTCGTACCATTGTCTTAGCATTTTCAGCAATGATGTTCTTCTTCTAGCAGGACCACGTTTACCTTGGATCTTTCCCTGAATGATCAGATGTAAAAGTTCATATTTTTCAGGGTGTCTCATAATGTGACTGAAGTATTCCATTGACTAATTGCGTCGTTTGGTTCAGGCGTCTAATGGCCTCCTCATTGCTAACTCTATCGACTCAGCTTATTCGTAGAAGTCGTCTGCATAACCTCATCTTAACAGCTTTCAAGCATTTAATCATCGCCTTTCTTAAGGTCATCGCTTTTCACTCCATACAGTAGCACTGGAATAGCAATATGACATTCGAACACCAAGGTCAATACTAAGATTGAAGCTGCAAAATGCCTTCCTCATTTTCACAAAAGACTTCGCCATCTGTTAAACATTGTTGAAGCAACTACCTTCTTGTTTAAGATGATGTCTTTGCATCCTTAACGTACAATTAAAAAATATCCCCTTGAAAGCAAAACCGATATACTCCGTAATTTTCTGGAATAACTTCTCTCATTGACAATACTTCAGGTTAACTTTTTTATTTGGGTTACTCTTTATAGGGTTGAATATTTTGTTAAAACTATTCATGATACCTCTATATATAATAAAGTATTAAAAATGCAATTATCCGTCCAATCAATTTAATATTCCAGTTGATGGTAGTAATAAGAGTTCTTTCCATATCTTACCTGTTGGAAATTCGGAGTCAAATGCGTTTTCACAACTGGACGGTGCGCCATCTGACATACATCCGCTGGAACTGGAACTGCTAGCCCTACTATGTCGTCCCGAACTTAAATCGGTAGATGTGGAGTAAGTTTCGCTTTGGGTTCCATAACCAGCCTCGCTACTTTGGTACCTAAAAAATTAATTTAACAATATATTAAAGATTGAGAACGTTTATTTTTGGAATAAGGTCATTCTTATAGAATTAAGTGACCTTATTTCGAAAAGTGTTTAATATTTACGTCAAAATTTTATTTCTACTTATCAATGAGTTTCGCTGCCGATTTCCTATCTGTCAATCATTGCCAGTGGTAAGTGATTTCTTTGTTCAAATGATGATTTATGAGTTATGCCAATTCTACATTTTATTGTTTACTATTTAATTAATTAAACATTTAATTTTTATTACTTCTTTAATCAGACCTAATAGCACATAAAATTGATTCTCTTCTTCAAGTGCCTTTTACTAGAGGAGGTTGGTGATGGTCATGATTTTGATAATTTTAGTCATGTCATTTGTCGTCTATCAGGACCTCGCCAAATCTTTCCTTCCATTATCAGTTGTAAGAAGTAATATCTACGGTGCCTAAGATAAGTTTGTTTTACGCTTTTTCACTATGTCTAGCAATTCTCAATACATGTTCATCTGTCTTACAACTTCTTCGTTTCTGACGTGATCAATCATGCAACTCTTGTCATGGACGATTTAGCATGCACCGAAATATCCACATCTCAAAGCTTTCCAGTTTTCGCATTGTACTAACTTTCAATGACAATGCTTCCATGATAGAAGGATACTATATACATAACATTTCACCATGCGGTATCCCAGTGTAAGTTCAAAATAATTTACAAAGAACGATCGAATTCTTAGTAAAGCGTTTCTGGCATTTTTATTCTTTTTATGTTTTTGATCTGGATCAATGTATTGTTGATTAGACAGTCAAAGTATATAAATTTTTCTACCTGCTCTATATGACGTCCATTAAGCGATATGTTTATTGTGAGTGGGTTAATTTTGTAAATAATCATTGTTTTTGTTTTCTTTTCGTTGACCTTTACCATACCTTTCTCCTTGCAGGATTACATCAAGCAGAGTTGGTAGATCTTCTTGCAGTCCGCGATTCGTACTACGTCATTGACGCGACTTTTCGGATATTGGTGATAATGTTTTCATTTACTTTTATACATTCATGTGCGGTATTTTCTCTGAACATAAATATAAATATTTCCTCTGAACATAAACTAAACAATAGAAGAGATAAAACGCAACCTTGTCTAACGCTTCTTTGATTAAGGATTTTGGCACTCTCGTGGGTTGTTTTACATTGATATATTTTTTAGTTGGGCTTAAACCATAATGGATTGTAATAATAATTACATTCTATTTTGTTTTTGGCGTTTTAATTTCCAATTTCCAATCCGGAAATCGTGTTCAAAAAATTTCTGAAATAAATTGTGAAAATGATCTTGTACTTACCCTTGTGTTGGTGTTGTGACTGTAGAAGGAAATGACTGAACAGCTATAGAACTAACTGAACAACTCCTTGCGTGTGCTAAAATATCCAAATCTTCCTGGGCCAACTCGTCGATCAAACTCCTGTAATTATCCATTAACTGTTTTCCGAACTTTGCTATCCTCATCCCAACCATCCACCTTTCTAAAGTATTTTGGTCTTCTGCACATAAGTATTTTATGTATTTTGTGGATTTTGGTTCTTGTAACCTAAAAAAATATATATTCTCTTTTATAAAAAAAAATAAATACAAGAAATGATAACGCCCTAATGCGATTAGTATTATTTAACCTCTATTCACTGGTTTTATGTATTTTCCCGTAAATCTGTGGTATCTTCAGTAACTATCTCTGGTATAAATATTGGCTATCCTCTTGACTATCTGATCTTTTTTGTCTTCTTTTATATATATATATATATATATATATATATATATATATATATACAGGGTGGTGAATCGTCAAACGGGCCATAGGAAACTCAATGGAAAATTCTAAATTGTTGAATTCCTGCTTCCCTAATTATTTTACACCAAAAGTCATGGGAAGCTATTTGTAGAGGACTCAAATATGTATCGAAAACAATTGTTAAAATTGTTCTACGACTTAAACGTATTCCAAAATTTTGCTAAAATATAATACATTTTTCAGGCCACAATAAAAGTCAGGCCAGACGCCGTGAAAAAAATGTGTATTACGTGTTGCGTTTTGTCATATTGACGTTTCTAATATTTGACAGTATTTAAATCAACTATATTATATTTATCTATGATTTAAATGGCCAAAATGTTGTGATTTATTATTTAAAAGAAAAATTAAGTTGATTAAAAAATGTACTCAGTTAAGGAGAAAAGAGCAATAATAAAAATGTTTTATTTATGTTTTATTATAACATTTGTTATAGTTTTATGTTTAGAAATTATCATATATTATTATTAGGAATAAAGATCACAGTAACAGTATATTGGAATTCATTGAATTGTTGTATAACTTAACTTAACATGGAATTAAATTTTAGTGTATTAGAATATCTTACGTTAAATAAAGATCCGGTAGCGACAGGAAAAGGTTCGCGCTATTGCCTGAATACAACATTATGCGATTTTTCGTCAACTGAGTACATTTTATTATATTGATCGATTTGTAAACAATATAATTTATTTGTTCACAAAGTTATATTGTTCAGTAGTAGTAGTATTTAGTAAAACTCATTGTTTATAATTTAATAATAAAATAAAAAAATGACAATTCAAATTGTCAAACATCTGACATCAATATGATAAAACAAACACGTTATATATTCTTGTATTACGTGTGACCTAACTTTTAGGGGTGGTCTGAAAAATCTATTATATTTTTGCAAAATTATGAAGTACATTTGATTCGTAGAATGGTTTGTTTTTAATTCAGATTTTAGTCCTCTACAAATAGTTTTTTATGACTTTTGATCTAAAATAATTAGGGAAGCAGCAATTCAACAATTTAAAATTTAGTTTCCTATGGCCCGTTTGACGATTCACCCGGTATATATATATATATATATATATATATATATATATATATACATATATATATATATATATATATATATATATATATATTTACAAAACCCTTCTATAATCCACGTTAAAGGAATAAATTTTCTTAATCCTGGTTTAATAAATTAGACTCCATACAATAATCGCTTGTACGGTAGCATCTGGCTAATATATTTGTCCTTGTCCTCTTTTGCAGGTTAAACTGAAAACAGAACAATCTAGTTCTTAACCCAAGGTGACGATATAGAGATAGGCCTTAGTGACAGGACATTGCCTTCTACATCATTTTTATAGGAATTATCAATAAAACCTAGTGAAGTTGTTAGAGGTGTTAGTTTAAAAATACAAATTCCTTGTAGTATAATTAATATGTTAATCTTACCTTGGATGTTTAACAGCGAAACAAAAATCAGTTGGAGCCTTATATTTTTTCTTCCAACCCAATCCATAATAAATATGATTGTTGTCAAAAGTTGCTAAACATACGAGATCCTTAGCCGATTTAACCTTATCCTTAGGATAGTAGTATAAACCTGATGCTCTTAGCACAAAATGGTGTTTCTTCCACCCCTTCTTTGATTCGGCCTTGAGATAAAGTGGTCCTTCAACTTCTGGAGGATTGTTTGAAGAAAAATACTCTTCTAAAAGCATATTTCGTGAGTGCTCGTCGAAATCTTGATTTTCTTTTTTGTCCGAAGGTGACAAAAGGAACCTTTCAGGTTGTAAAAAGAGTTTAATTTTATCTTCTCTTTCTACAAAGTAAATTTTGTTCTTCGAATCCCGCGTCCACAGCAAGAGGTTATCTACTAATAGTTCGTGGTCTTCATAAAATCTCTCTAAAACGTAAAGAAGTATTAGTAATATAGACGTATACCAATATATGAACTATAAAAGACAAGATTTGTTGGGGCAATCTGTGTTCCCCTTGGAAAAAAATTCAAGTAGGTAGCTTTAGAGTCATGACTCGACATTAAATGGACAAAATGACGTATTTTCGCTGAATGAGCTGAAGCTCGACATTCATTCAGTGGCGTATCTGCGATCTGTTAATAATTTTTAAATGGTTTTTCTGTTATTCGCATGATTTAGTTAATTAATGCCGCTAAAATGTATCCTTTTAAAACCGGTGTGACTACATGTCATCATAAGCACGAATTAATGCGTAAGATAATAATTAGTTTTACTATAGCAAAATTATCAATTTAACGAATTTCGCCAGATTAAGGTATCAGGCAATGATGTATACTACCACCCCAACCATTTAGTAAAAGTATACCAAGAATCTATTAATTATTTTTAAATGTTAAGTGTTTTTCTGTTATTCGCATGACATACTTAATCAATACCGCTAAAATGTATCCTTTTAAAATCTGTGTGACTACATGTCATCATAAACACGAATTAATGCGTAAGATATTAATTAGTTTTAGCGTTGATTGAATAACCCATCAATCAACGGTTTTAGTAAATATAGCAGAATCATCAATCTAACGAATTCCAACCGGATTAAGGTATCAGAAAGATTAAGGTATCAGACAAAGATGTATACTATCACCACAACTATTTTATATAAGTATACCAGGAACCTATTATCAGGAGGGCTCTTGAAGAATAAGAAAAAAGCATCTCAATAAATGAAAACAATCGAACAAATCGACGCTTTACAGACGATACAGTTCAGCCTCTTTTCCAACAGCCAAGAAGACCTGATTGATCTCACACGGATGATTGGAAATGAGTGTAAAAGGTTTGGTTTCTAGTTAAGTATATCAAATATAAAAATCATGATAGTGGATAGGCAACTACATAATGATCAGCATATAACCAAAATTGACCAGTTTGATATTGATAACCCTTACCTGGGATCATTATTCACTAAAGTGGGCACACTCCGGGGAGAGATAAAAAGTATATATGATCTAGCCAAGATCGCTATGGAGAAGATGACCAAAATATGGAAATGTCATAATATTTAAATAACCAAAAAAAAAACAAGGTTTGTCAGCTACTTAATATTTTCAATACTGACGTATGGATGCGAATCTTTGACACTATGGCAATCAGAAAGAAGAAAGATAGACGCCACTGAAATGTTCTGCTGAAGAAGAATGTTACGAATTCCATGGACCAACCATATGACAAATAATTCTATTCTAATGCACGATGTAATAGAAATGATCAGAGACAGAAGTCTACGGAAACAGACCATACACAATATCACATCGATCACTGCACTCCCTCCAGTGAGTTGAGTGAAAGAGAGAGAGAGAGAGAGAGAGAGAGAGAGAGAGAGAGAGAGAGAGAGAAAGAGAGAGAGAGAGAGAGAGAGAGAACGAGAGAGAGAACGAGAGAGAGAACGAGAGAGAGAACGAGAGAGAGAAAGAGATAGAGAGAGAAAGGGATAGAGAGAGAGAGAGAGAGAGTGAGAGGGAAAAGAGAGAGACTTAACCCGCTGTCCAAATATTAGATCTATGTAAAATAATGCAAAGAAAACAGGATTTTATAAATTTATTGATATAATTATCCTTCGAATTATTATTCTATACTCACCCATATACAAGTCAGGCAAATGTTCAACGATTGCCCATTTTGGTTCCATCTGAACGTGATTTTTATCTGCCAATAACCTAGTAACATAGGAACAAATCATCTTTTCATCTACTAGTAGTGACTTTGCCGAACCGTCTGTCGTAAACACTTTTAAAAACAATTTTTGAATATTGGCTTCTTTGATCTTCTCCATGGCCATCTTGATTTTTTCCGCTTTAAGTCTTGAAGCGTCATCCTAAAAATAAAAATTGTTAATAGAAAAGTAGTACATATGTATAATGGAAGTTTGAATATAATAAAATGTATATTTTGTTGTTAGTCTCTTTAAGACGATTAAAACAAGATAATCTTTGTAGACTTCCTAACAACCTGGACTATAGGGTTTATTTATCCGACAAATCATGTACCTACTATAGATGGCAAATAAGTATATTAGCTCATTATCTCTGTCGTTTTCCCCGTTTCAATTTATTTTCAATCCATATTGAAATTTAATCAATATTTGGCGTTATATAGATATAATAAAATCGAGAAAAGATTAAACACTAGTTTAAACACAAAAGATAATTCCTCGTGAAATAGTTGCCTGGTGTCAAAATAACATGAAAGAACTTACCTGTTGAATATTTTGAAGCCTTAAGGTCTGTGGTTTGGCTCCGCTACCTCCACTACTCGCAGATGATTCGCTGGACAACATAGAAACAGTATCACTGAAGGCAGAATCGTTATCTGGAGATTCGGTCCTGCCTGAATCATTTTTGAGGATTAGATTGTCTTCTGTGTCGATCTTTACGCGCGAGGCTTCTGAGAGGGATCTACTGTGCGTTCTGTTTTCAAATTGTGACAATGATTGAGCATCTAAAATTATAAATATTTATGTTAAATGAGCAGATAGATACGCAAAAATATAGGTTATTTATTATAAATCGTGATGCCATGATTTTCTGACATTAAAGTTTACAAACCTAATTCACCAATAGTTACATATCATCATTTTCTTAGCTCTAGTACGTGAAACATTTAGAGTCAATGTTGTCTTATTGACGAAGTATTTTTTCATAATTTAATATAGACGACGTTCTATATGTAATTTAACTAGAAAAACAGTTTTGACTGGATCCAAAGATATTTTCTCTGGTATAATTTTTATCAACTAGGTTTTTTAGGTTACCTGCTATCACACACAGTAAATAATTTGGACAATTAGAAACTTCCGATCGGTTCTTAATATAGAAAATAAAAATAAACTCTTTCGGGAATTTTCAAACTGCTGTGGCGGTGCTTTTCTTTTAAATTAATTAGGGATATTGAATGCTGTGCTTTCAAATAGACCATACACAAATCGGCTTTCGTATCGAAAAAAACCGTAAGGTCGGACAAGGAGCTGCAGTGGTTTGAATTTGGTAAAGGATCTTGGAGGTAGTGTGGGTTCCCGATGTTCATACTGTAACAAAACTTCGCGTAATGTCCACTGTATCCGTTAAAGGAGTCGGGGGCTCTAGAAATAGAATTCATCCTCTGCCAACAAATCCTACTCTCGAATCATTGTCCTTTGGAATGTAGTAGTTGTGTGTGTTCTTGTTTTGATGTGCTGTGAGTACAGTTGTAGGTGACTATTGTCGCCTCTTTAGAACGTGTTTGTACGATGTGAACTTTTGTTTGTTGGTCCTGGTGGTGTTTTGATGGTGTCCTGGAGGAGTGTATCTTCAGAGGGTGTTCAGATGCGAAAATGCTTGGTGAACAGTTCTTTTCAGAATTGTGCTGTGTTATTCTTAATTAGTGACTGAATTGAGTGATTATGTGAGCATTTGATAGAATAAGTGTATGAATGGCTTTTGCTCTAGTGTTGCGCATATACTACTCTCACGTACAAAAGGCTTTTGCATTCGGGGTCGGAATGCAAACTAGTTGCATGGTGTATAATGGGTATGGGTTATGTAACATACAAAAGGGGTGTAAGGCGAGTTCCTGGCGCCTAAAAACTGGAACCATATCCGCTAGGGGAAAAAACCATTCCCGATACTAGGCATCGGAACAGGAATAAACCTCCTATAAAATGATACCAGCAACGAATAAAGAAATTACTTTAGGATGTTACAACGTGCAGAGTATAAGTATTAAATAACAGCTTTTGGGACTATTGATAACTATGCATAATGCCGGATAGACACAGACAGTGTTCGGTGAATATTTCACTATTCACCGAACTACTCTAAAAATGTTTATGTGTATTAGGGAACAAGATATACGTGACTTCGATGTTATTGATCTCCTTGTCTATTGTCGAGCAATTATTGCCCAAAAATTTGCTCGTATAAGCGCACCTTTAGGCATATATTCATCAACGGACGATGCGAATGATATTGAAAAGGAAGAATTTTACGAAAATTTGACACTTCTATTAAATGGAATGGGAAATATAAAACATCTATTAATTATGGGTAACTTTAATAGCAGAGTTGGACAGAAATAAAAAAATGAGATAATAGGATAATTTGGTGAAAATATCATCACTGACAATAGAGCGTGGTTTATAGAAGTTGTTAACCAGTATACACATGTGAATACACATTCAAAAATTAAATGGAACGATGTGAGAGTGTACCATGAATCAGATTATGGATTGGTTAAAGGGAAAACTGTATTCTATCTGAGGTTTTTTAGACTTCCAGAGAATCAAAGCGACGATGATATATTGGAGAAGGTGTTATTGTGAGTATATTATAAAAGACCGAATTTAAAATCTCCATTTTATCAATGTTTCATCCTCAAAAGATTTCATTCGAGACTTACGATCGAAGTACTAGGTAGTTTTACGTCATCGTTTGAATATTACTCGTTCCCAATCACACGAAAATTAGCAAAATAATAATAATAGGATTCGAAAAATTTGGTTCTGGAAATCATTACTCTAAATATTGCTCAGGTGATATGCGTGTAAACTGTATATCCGTGGAACGTTTGGAACGAGATATTGCAATTTTATTGTTAAAATTAATGAACCATCTTCAATTAGTACAGTATTATCAACAACAACTTCTTATTCATCGTATCCAGCATGATCTATCAAGATCAAAAACAACATGTTGAGTGTTGCGGAAACATGAGTCTTCATATAGTTTGTGTTGTTATCGGTATGCTCTTGTATGTGATAACTCTGTTTAAAAAGAAAAAGTCTTAAAACTTGGTTTACGGAAGAACCCTATTGACTTTGGAGTCTACTACCCAACACTTTTATTTTATCAACTCTTTCAGTATCTGTTAGTGTTAAGGATATTGTTAGTATTATTATTTGTAAAGTGTGCTAACTATTGTTATAATCCGAAAATATGGTTAAAAGAGAATGTTCCTAACTAAATCGTTAGACCTTTGGCAAAGGCTATAACGGCTATACGTTTAAGAATTCTGTAGCATCCTTTATTAATACTCCTTTGTATGGACTTATTGATATAAGGATATTAAGCATTTAAGAACCTCTTATAAATGCAATTTCTTCAGAAAATAAATGGGATCTGATATCAGCCACATATCCTTGTACATCTTTCATTAACAACAATGTTAATTTTATGTTCAAAATTTAGAAGAGATTTTGATAGTATTTGGTTATTATTACGATATGCATTATATAATAAGAAAAGTGACCATCACAACTTTTATAGATGAATTTATTCCTTAGCTGAAAATGTTGACAAACATTTAGCATAATTTTTTTCTGTGGGAATCTTTCAACAAAACTTATGATCACGTTCATGAAATAACCCGGTGCAAGATTTCGACGTCATGTTATGATCGTTTAGAAATTTGTTAGGATAAAAGTGATGACATTTTTTAATAATACAAAAAAATTGGTCAATTAAAACAATATAATATTTTGTTACTTTTTGTAATGTTAGAAGAAAAAATTATTTAAAAACTTTACTAAAATTTACTAAATCTATGAGTAGGAGGAGTAAACTAATACGTGCAGCATTCTTTTTTTTTTTGGTGTTCCAACCCTGTATTAATTTCATTCATTAATTTTCTTCATTTTAGAATGCTTCCATTTATGAACTATTGCAATTATCCCAACATGTACCTTATTAAGAGCTATTCAGAGAACCTTGTTTCAATAAAAAACTGTCTAATATAGGTACATAAGCTTCCTTTCTGCAATAAACATAAACTTTATTATTATTCTACTATAACTCTGTATAGATTAATCTGTCTGGTACCAACAACATTGATGCTGTGAAATTTTTAACTTCTTTAGGTTTTTGAATTAGTCTAGCAATAATAAAACAGTTTTGTAATTTGTCGCGGAATAACTACAAGATTCTTTCGAAAGTGATAGATACTTTGCAAGTAAAGCGATAATTGGTATGATACTGGTAAAACTACTAACAGTAATTTTAACTGGTAATTCATAGTATATTGATTTTGAAAATTACCTGATTGTAGCTTTTCTCTCGCTTGGCCGATTTCTTGTTCGCAAACTGTTTCCAGAGCGCAGAGTTCTCCGAGGATGGCATCAAGGTCTACATCTTGGGAATCTTCTAGGTTGGCCATGGAAAACCTGTAACTGTCTATCCTAGGAGCGGTAATTTCGGAGTTTAGTGGTCGCAAGTGTGCTGTGGAATTGATGGGATCTAGACCCTAAAATAGAAAAACATTTAAAATTGCATTTTCAAAAGACATAAACAATATTATTCAAACGATAATATATTCATGTATCGTTTAAAATTACACAATGTAGGCAAAGTGACTCATAAACCTGTTGTCTAATTTATAAAATGGCTGGCAGGGGTGAACTAATAGGTTAATAAAACAACGAAAGCGGGATACCGAGAAGCGAGAATACATTGTAGTGCAGATGTATTCGGCGATGATGCCAATATATACATTTTAGGATGAATTTCTATTAGGTTTGTTTTTAGAATAATTTAATACTGTATGAATTGTCGCAGGGCGTTGATCTTTCCATAAAACCATATTACAAGTTAATTAATTCGTTTAATAAATTTTGGTAGTACGTAAACCATTTTTTAAGAACTTATAAAAGATGTAGTAAATTGGATCAATTTGGAACACAAAAGCCTTTATGTGTTTCTGAAAATTCTGAAATTAATATATATAAAGCATAAAAAGTACTGGATTACAAGGTTTTTATTTTATATAAGGGAAAACACTTTTACATTGCCTTGTGTTTTATTATTAAAATACAAAAAAAGAAACTAACTATATAACTAAACGAATAGACCAGTTATAGAAAAGAAACGTGAAAGGAAATTTTTAATTATTTAAAAAATTAAAATCCTCTTAGATTCCTCTTCTGCCGAAGCTATGTGTAGGGCTCATGGCACAACCCAGCTTTACAAACACGTCTATTAAATTGTTTAATATGATGAGAGTGATTATTAAGAATTTTGTATATTAGAAAGATCGATCAAGAGTAGATTGGTATTAAACATTATAAAACATTTAATACTTAATTGGGTTAAGATATATGTATTGTACCGGGTGGACCAAAAGTCAGTTAACGCTATCAAAAAAAAATCCGCACGTAGCACATCTCGTGAATTAGAAATATCCTACACCAGTTTTCATCGTATGTTAAAGAAAATTAAGATGCGTCGTTATCGTTCGCGTTTGTTGCAGGCGCTATCTGAAGACGATCCAGATCGCAGGCTACAATTTTGCGAGTGGTACACTGGATGCGCAGAAGACGACACAAATTTTTACAGATCCATTCTTTGGTCTGGCGAAGCTAAATTTAAATTGAACGGACGAATTAATCGTCACAATTGTGTGTATTGGGCATCTGATAACACTCATGTAACCATCACAGAAGTCTTGTGGGTTCATATTTTTTTAATGAAACTGTAAATTCTGAAAATTACCTGAAACTTCTTATGGATTTAAGGTGAGAATTTGAAAATAATCCCAAGGTATTGGGATATGCAGCACTTAAGACAGGATTGCAGAAGAATTTGAAGTATTCCGTGCCAACTTGGATTTCTGTAGAAAGACTTGTTTCACTGTGAATAACCATTGCCAAAAATGTATTGATAAATGTGGTTTACATTTATCAACATAAAATCTAAAGCATGCACTTTTTTGTACACTTCCCGTCATATAAAACTGGTACACTTTTTTTTCTCAATGTAAACCTGTGTTCAGAAATCAATTCGTCGTTGCCATTACAGATAACGGAATTGCACTAAATCTAAATAAAAAAAAATAACGTAAAAAAATCTATAAAATTTTTAGATAGGTATTATTTATATCATTAACAACAAAAAATCGAATCTAAGAAATTAAATAAGCAGAGATAGGATTGAGTTATTATCCAAAATGTTTGAAGGATCTTTAAACCTAGGATATTGGCACAGGGAACATTGGAATGCATCTACTATAATTTTATACTTTAATTACCTACCGAAATCGAACTGTATTATGTGTCAATAAGTTTTGTAACAACAAACTACCAAGATTTATTTATTATTTATTACAAGAACGATAAAAAATGTGACAAACTAACATTATACTTTATCCTACGTATTATAAACTATAAAATATTCGGGGCAAAAAAACGCTTTTCAAAACGTAACAGTTACAATCCAATATCTCACAGTAATGTTTTATTATAACAATTTGAAGTTTGTCTGGATTGATTATTGTCTGTCATTATTTTTGAATTGAAATATTTTCATATGTTGAGAAACCATCACATCCAGAAAAACTGACTGTTTGGTGGGCTTTATGATCTGGTGGAATCATTGGACCGTCCTTCTTTAAAAATGATATTGGCCAGAATGTTACGGTCAATGGTGACCGCTATAGAGTCATGATTATTGCCTTTTTCATTCCCCAATTAAACAACCATGATGTGCAGGAGCTGTCATTTCAATAAGACGGCGCAACATGTCACACAGTTCATGTCACGATTGATTTATTTGTACATCTATGCAGTTATATGCAATGGAAACCCGGATAATAAACGAATAATTGCTAAGAGATATGAAATATAAAAAAAAATATCTGGTATAAGATCTTTGCAATATCCGCCTGCAAAAACGCTACATTTTGCGTGTCAAGTACACTATTACATTTTAATGGAGCATTTCTTTGAAAATAAATCAGCGATTAATGATTTAAAGTTAGTTGTCGGAAAATTACCACATAACAGATATCAGACACGCATTTTCCTCGCGTTTCCACTTATTATTTTCCAATCAAACGTGAAAATATAAAGATGTTCTCTCTTTACGATCATTCCCAAATTGACATTGACATCTCAAAATCTCAATGGAAAATGCTGTCAGTTTCAAATTCTGCGATCATAAAAAATTTATCTGTCACGATATTCTTAAGTAATCCACGAACATACACACTGTTGTTTATCTTTGCCTCCTTAGACGGAGGACCCCGTCTAAAGCCAAATAAAAATTTCAGTCCTAGAAAATTTCTTTCAATTTCAATTAGCACAAATTTACCGGTCAATTTAGACAAAATATAGTAATGGCAACATTAAATTATAACCATAACCGGCAGTAACAATTCCTTAAATACAATTCCCAGGGCATTTGTCAACAGAAATACAACCGTTTTGTGCTAAGTATAAGCATACGAGGACATTTTACTGCCATAACCATCTATTCGTTTTTCCTACGGCGACGTTGACGACTATATTCCGACTCACAGGCGACGTTTAACGAAAAAAATCAACAACAATTCATTATCTTGTCTGTATAATGGTTCAACATCTTTTAGTTCAACGCACTTTGTATTGTCATTTCCATACGTATGTTTATATATAATTTGAAGACTATGAACGTTACATCATTAATTACAATTAGTTTTTTTATTATTTTTCTGCGCTGGGGTGAAACGATCGATAACGGTTTGTTATTGGCGGAATATGTAATTCATTAACCTATTTTTCATAGATAGCCGACAAGTTTTTACCATATTTACATTGTGTTTATAAAATATGAACATAATTTATGGTTTAAATAATATACAACCGCTTACATTCTTAATGTAGGTTGATAAGATTGTTATCTTGTATCATAATGTGTTCAATAAGGCGAAAATAAAAACAAGTTTTTACACCGCCTTGCTCTATATGATGTCGGTACCACTGTAAATTACTGAAACGGCGACGGAATACAGTACAAAGCAAAAAAGGTGGTTTGGCACACCAAAAAACCCAAATAAAATCTAGGATAAATGGGAATTGAGTAAGGTGTTACCAAAATAGTGTAAGACAAACAATCTTTTTAAGGACTTTTCGTTGTTCTATATAGCTGTATATTTAATATAGATACAAAATATAGACAAAAAACGTCCTAATGGCCTAAAATAAGATGGTCTCAAACAGAATACAGCAAAACTTCAAAAACAAAATTGATGATATTTAAGGGAAAATATGCCTTACACAAATTATTTTAACTTAGTCGGAAGGTCTGGTGTATCGAATAAACTGACTAAGAGAACAGAAACTAAAATTGGGAAGGCGACAGGCTCTGCATTACAAGATTCCAAAAAATAAGAAACCCCATCAACCAAGTCCCCAAAAGAAGACTCCTAAGAAACGTAATGTCTTTAAATTCATCAAAAATCAATGACTTACAATAAAACCTAGAAGCTCTTTCTTTAGGCCAAGTAGGTAGTGACCCTGAGAGCACTTAGATCTATCTATCTCACTAAGATAAGGTAATCGACTCTGCAAAAGGCTGTGAGGCATCGGTTTCCAGAGGCCGTAAGCCATGGATATCCGATAATACGTGGACTGTGATTCAACGCAGAAAAAAACATAAAACTAGATACGGAACATAGGATGAATACAGAGTGTTATCGAAAGAAATCAGAAAACAGTGCCGCAAAGACGAAGCTGATTACATCTCTCAAATATGCAGCAAGATAGAGAAACATGGCCGTCGAAATGAACTGAGGGATTTATTTCAGAAGATCAAACTCCTTAACATAGAATTTAATTCTGAATCGAGGTCTGTAATAGATAAGGAAGGTAATCTAAAGACCGATACTGACGAAATATTGAAAACATGGCGGAACTACTGTGGCGAGCTATATAAAAATAACAAGGTACCAGCAGAAAATCAGTGGCCCTCTGACTACCCTAGAGAAGCTATTTTCTTACTCGCCGAAGTCAAAGATGCAATTAAATCGCTAAAGAGAAATAAATCCCCAAGCATTGATTACAGTAAGATTATTAGTAAGTTACAAGTAAGTCGATGAAGAAGTATGATTTTAGAAAACTGAAAGATCCCAATGTTCGACTGAAGGTGAGTGGAAACCTCAATACAATGGTGCTAACATGCAAAAATGCAGAAACTATAGAGGAAAGTCTGACCATCATACAAGAAACAGTGAGAGAAATAAAAGAACAACACCTGAAGAAAGACACAGAGAAACGCAAATCGTGGATGACCGATGAAATACTTGAGCTTATGGATCAGAGAAAAAAAACCAAGAATATAAGAGAATACATACCATCGTCAGAAGAAAAATAAGAGAAGCCAAAGAGAAACAAAAAACAGAACAATGTCAAGAAATAGAAGGATATCAGAGTCGATATGATAACTTCAATGTTCATCGAAAGGTGAAGGAAATAGCTGGAAAATTTCGAAAAC